CATTACATTCTGGCAGGTAGTTGGTGATTTAGTTCTTAATGCACTTAATGATTCCATGAAACTCAAGGAATTATCTCCTTCTCAAAAACAAGCAATCATTACATTTATACATACGGATGGTAAAGACCCCACTTGTATTAGTAGTTATAGACATATCTCCTTACTCAATGTAGATTATAAGTTTCTCACCAAGATACTTTCCAAAAGAATGAAAAAAGTTTTGAATAAAATTGTGTCGATCGATCAAGTTAATCAAGTAGGATATTTAAATGATAGAAACATTGGTGATTTAATCATATTAATCAATGATATGATTTTCCATACTTCTTGTTCTAAAAAAACAGGCTACATATTGGCAATAGACTATGAAAAGCCTTCGATTCTATTCCGCAGTTTTCTACAGAAAGTCCTTAATTATTTTGGGTTTGGACCAATGTTTTATGAATGGGTTACAATTTAACTTACCAACGTTGTTGGTTTTTATGGCGTTTTCCATCGTCGTTGGATGATTTTCGCCAGGCAATGTGAGAGGGCGTTTTTTTGTTTTTTGGTCTCGATTTTTGGAAATTTGACATTTTGCTCCGTTGGGGGGGGGGGGGGGGGGGGGGGGGGGGGGGGTAAGGTCAGCTTTTTTAGGTCAGCCATGGGAATATTTTTTTTTTTTTTTTTTTTAATTAAAAAAACTATTAAAAAAATCCAAAGGGGGGGGGGGTTTAGGGGGGGTTATGGGGGGGGGGGGATTACACACAAAAAAATACCAAAGGGGGGTTTAACCCCCCCCCCCCCCCCCCCTCTGTGTACGCGCCTGGTTCATTATGTTAAGACGTTAGTTTGAAGCTTCTCTTCGTATAATGAATCCAGCGATTTATAATGATGCTCAAAGTTGTGCTTTTAATGTAAGACAAGGAGATCCGCTGTCTCCATATTTGTTTATATTATGTATTGAATTGAATGCTTAACTCACTGCATTAGGAATGATAAGTTGGTAAAGGGTAGTTGTTTTGGTGAAACAGAAATAAAACAAATCCTATATGCAGATGATATGACAATTTTCGTGCGAGATATAAACTCAATTTATAGACTGGAGGTAATTTGAGAAAGTTTCAGGAAAATGTCAGAATTAAAGATGAATGGAAACAAAACATTCATTTTGTCCTTAGGGTCTTCTGTCGGCTTTGCGACTACGTTTCAATTTGGAAAGAAGGTAAACATGTACAAAATGTTGGGTATATATTTCATATTAGATCTCATCGTTGCTGAAGATATGAATTATAAAGAAATATTGAGCAAAATAAAGAAATTGTTAAATTGGTGGAAACAAAGAGATCTTATACTTTAATCGGAAAATTCACTTATTGAAAACATACGCCTATTGAAAACTACTTTATGTAAGCTCTTTGACTCCTGTACTTAAATGGATTTTAAAAGAAATTGATGAGATTTCTATGGCGAGGTAAAGGCAAAATAAACAGAAGCACGTTGTATCTTGATTACAAGCAGCCATGGAGGATTAATAATGCTTAACTTTCAACTTTTTGTGAATGTACAAAAGGTGATGTGGATTAAAAGATTTGTTACTGGAGACCTGAAAGTAAAATGGAAAAAATATTTCAAATATTTGATAAGACCATTTTGGAGAAATCTATTTATTTATTGTAACTATTTACCTAACATAATCGATGTAAAAATACTATCAGGAGTTGTTAAACATTTGGCTCGATATGAACCAGTTTACAAATAATAAAGGACATAAATTATTTTTTGAATAATAGGTTTATTCATAATAAGAAAAGAAAAACATAGTTAAACAAATAATACTTTCAGGTTGTATCATATAGATGGAAAAGGGTTAATAAAGTCGGACACTGATTTCAGATGTATGGGCCTTGGAAGTATCAATTCTCAAAGAAATCTACGCTAATAAGGGAGTTTACAGATAGCACATGGTATAGTACAAATGACCCCACATATCCACAGATCTTTTACACGTGGATAATTTCCATTTTGAGCATATTAGAATAATAACTGCCAAAGTCCTAGATGTGCTTCATGAATACCTTTTGTTTGCCCTCTTGAAATAAATACTTCCACCTGCGTATCATAGAATGTACCGTTGGTGCATAAATGAATAATGTTACATAACTTTCATGAGCTCATATTCAGTATTCATCTCTGTTGGTTTTACCTTTTTGGTACTAATGACCTTTATCTGCCCATGCGCAGATTGTATCTGTAAACACCCTTATTCACCTGAAGAATGGAAAATCTAATTAACGAAGAGACAAATTTCATTTGATAGTCTAAAAATAGAATTTATTTTTACAAAGAAAACTATCCAATTTGAATCAGTCTGTTCACAGAATTTGTACAAGGTGTGCTTACAAAAAATGCCGACCTCCCAGTTAGTTTTCATAATTTACATTCATCAAATAATCTGTCGGTTAAAGAAATTGAAAATGTTTTTGTCCTTCCGAGAATTAGCACATTAGATAATAAACTGCTTTATAAAATTGTATATATTGATCGCTATTTATACACGTTTAAATTCATTTCAAGTAATAAATGCTAATATTTTTTAATGCGTTGTACTGAGAAGATTATGGGAACAATGTAATGATATCATGGATCTTCCTTTTCTTAAAGACATGAGCTGGAAAGAAGTTCACATTGGATTGGACGAAGTAATGAAGATATGCAAATAATTACTCACGTTGTTTTATTGATCAAACATCTGTTATTTTTAAGTAGGGGAAAAAAAGCCTCCAAGCATTGAGGAAATAAAATAAATATTATTTAAAAGCGAACAAGAAGAAAGAGAGACTGCTATTGAACGAAGTACATTGACACTCCTTTATAAGAAAAATGGGAGCATCTTGAGGTTAACATTATCAATAAACAAGAAAATTGAATGGATGAGGACCAGAGGGGTCCGCTCAGTTCGCATTTATGTGTGATTGACCGCTCCCGACTGCCACATACTGCCCCTTTATCTATTTATTTATATTTTTAGGCTTCGTAATTGTTTTGTGTTTTAACTCTGGAGGACTTGGGAAGGGGTAGCGGCAGGGGTTGGCAGTATCGAGAGGGTGGTGGGAGGGGTGGTGAGGTTAGGGGGATCGATAAGGGGGAGGGGTATTGTTTTGGTAAATTAGTATGATTTATTTACATATAAAATATTGATATTGTATGTAAATTAATGATTTTTGCTTTTGGACCCCATGGAAGAACAGGACCATTTTGAAAATGGTCCGGAAATGGGCTATCCAATCGTTTGTTTATACTTTACACATTTACTTAATTTCTTATCATTTGAAATGTGTTTTATATGTATGTTTTTAAAACTTGTATGTAACTATGGATTTCGGAAATAAAAAGAAACACACAAACGACCAAAAATTTGGGAGGGGGTTATTATACGATAAAATGTATTGAGTCAAAATAATTGAGTTGTGTATACTGTGTACAGTGCAATTATGTTTATGTATTGTAATTTGAAATAAGTTGTATGATGTACATGTATTGAATGAATACAATTCAGAATACTTCCCCCCACCCCCCCCCCCCAAAAAAAAAAAAAAAAAAAAAAATGCAATCGCATATGGACAGAACTCAACTTTATCTTTAAGTGAAAATATTCCAAGATTACTGTCTGTCGTATTGTTTTCTCACGCTTCTCAATGAAAGTGCAAGAACCTCATTTAAGATGAAGCGTGTCGGAGAAAAGCTTCCACAATCGTGTTGCGTTATTTTTTTTACTTCCCAATGTCTTATGTCAGACTTTCCTAAGCCGCGGCTTTCGCCATATAACAACGCACACTCCACACCCGTTTACGTCATGTCAAACCAGTGGGGGAAGCTAGGGCAAGTCAAATACAGTGCGTCCCAGAAAAAGCGAATCCGAGAATTGTAGATGTTTTATCATTACTTAATCACAATTGAAATTAATAAATGACACGCATGCATCAAGTCTTTCGTCTTCTTTGTGCATGGCTGATCGTCAACGAAACGGAATTAAGTCTTTTACCAACTCTGTTTGCTGCTACGGCAGGCAGCCAGTGAAAACTAATTCGTTTAATCAAATTATGGAAATGCAAGCATTAATTTAAACAAACAGAAGTTTGTTATTCCTGGCTCATTTTTCCTGATTGAGGTGTCGTATGAAATGGCTGAAAATGAACTTTCTAAAAATTTGATTTTCTCTTTGAAATTCAGATACCGCCCGCCAAATGACTTTTTGTTACCATCTCTTCAAATTGTTTTTAATCACTCGTGAAATATGCATCATATGAGTTGCATCACATGAAAGAGGAGGATCTACGCTTTACAGACATGTGTCATTTATTTAATCTAATTGTGATTAAGTTATGGTAAAACATCGATAATTCTCGGTTTCATTTTTTCTGGGACGCACTGTAAATATGACGGTGACCGACATTTTCTCGGGCCACAGTACTCAGCTTTACTTCGTCGAGGACATAGGGTCGGGTCTTGGCACATGGGAGCGACATTTTCATCGGAGATGCTAAGGGGTGGCTTGTCACTCCAAAATTCTCTGACAAGCATTTTTGGCCCGAAATCGTATATTTTTAATCGGGCCTATTTTTATGTATTTCCATTAAGGCAGGGTAAATGAGACCCCAGTTTGTTGAAGAAGTGTTTTAGATGTCACTCTCTCATATCTAGGAAACCTTGTATTCAACACTATAGATGTTATTTAGTATTGTTAGTTATATCATCATCAACAATATTATTTCGGTTCTTTTTCTTCTTCTTCCTATTATCATTATCATTTTTTAAAATTATCTTATTGTACCCTCACTCCCATCTCTCTCTCTCTCTCTCTCTCTCTCTCTCTCTCTCTCTCTATTCCTTTCTACCTGTCTATTTCTCTATAATTATCTCTCTAAGACTTTCTGCCCCCCTCTCTCTCTCTCTCTTACATTCTTCCAACTTTATTACCATTTCAAAGATCCTTGAACAAAATGGAGAAAAGAGAGATGTTTCAATATCAGAAGGTGCTAATATACCTTGTGAGTGGATGAGTTTATTTCAAAGTATCAACACATAATTTCTCATTATGTCTCGTTTTTGTTATTCTTCTCTCTGTTGACTATACACAGACATCACAAAACCGACGAACAAAAAAAGCTTATTGAAATTGTCTTACTGTCATTTCATAATATATTCACAATATAAATCTACACAAATGAAGAAAATAAAGAAACACAAAAGAATGGATAGTTCTGAAGGATGATAATCCCTTTTCTGCATCAAACATATAAATGGTTTCCGATATATTGAGGGGATGTTCAAGCGCAGGTAACAACAGACGCACGCACACACTTTCTTGGCTAGAGTCGAGTTATAAAATGTCGCGGGGGGTATAAAACGGGCTACTGGAATATACTCTTGCCTTTTTGAATAGCCTGGGGATCTAATAATAAACATCAATTGCACACCAATGCATATACTGTCGATCTTTGAGATACAATCATGTTGGTTCTTGCCCAAAATCTCTCTATATCTTTCTGCCTATTCCGAAAATAACACCTAATATGCATAGGGCTCCTTAAATAGCTACAAAACAACAAGTTTGAAGCTGGAGCTCACTTCCTGTTTATCGTAGTTGACTGAAGACTCTGGGTAATCAGGTGTGCACGTTGGGGCACTTAAAGGGCAACGTTATTGGCCAACATCAATGCACCTTTTTCTCCTGCTAATATTGACCTTTGATCTTATGTATGGTGTCTGCAAATACTCAAATGAAATATGGTTACCAAATTATCTGCACTTTTATACATATATGAAGAATTTTCTTTTTCTGTATCAGAGTAATGATTACAATAACTTATCTGTGCTAACCCAAAGTCAATTAAAGAATGCCTGCAATTACATCATAAGGTCCTCCAAATAAAAATTTCAAATGTTCTTTTATATTCTGAATAAAAAAATCCTATGAAAACTGAGTTATTATTAAATATCTTTAGGCATACAGGTGTAGATTTGGCAAAGCTGGTTCTTTAGAACACATGCATTCCTTTCTCAATATTCACATTAGAATGTGATATATGATTCCAAGTTAATTACTCATATAATCATAACAGAATTCTTACAACAGGAATTGTGAGAGCTAATGATTTAAAGTCCTTTGTGTATCTTTGGGATGCAATTTCAAGTCTAGAAATGAAAATAAAGAAGAAATCAACTCCTCTCCTACAATTAACACACATTCATCAGTACGAGGTGTTAGCAATAGATTATATACAAATGTGCATAGTGAATGGTTAAGGTAATATAATATGAGATTTATATATTGTGGTTACCGCTAACCTAAGACAAATCATACCATACTGATAGAAAAACCACAAATCTTCGGCTTCATCTCTGCAAAAATATAACATTATTTTCTACACCTTGTTTTGATGACCTGCTGTATATCACACAAGAAGTATGCTTTCTCTACCGATATAATTATCTTTCTCCTCGACAAAGCAATGATTTGAAATTGTACACGTCTATAGATTGCTAGGTACCGGTAATGACTTCTTTCCTTGCCTACATAAAACCACACACATTCACATAAATGTTCCCCTGATGTATATAAGCTACGTGCCTTTTTTTTCTTGTAGAGTACAGTTCAAATTAATTAAATTTCTAGTATGCAAAACCAATTACCCGGTATCAAATGAAGAATATATGTTTCATTGCTCTTTCAAATCTGATTAAAACTTGAATTACAACTTTTACCAATTATTCACTTCAATGAAAGGATACTAATACACCATATAAAGCAATTTAAATTCTACTTTCAATTGTTAAATAAGACTTACAATTCCACCTAATCACCTTCAGGAATGCACTTCAATTTTCTTGTTATAGTTTAAACACCCTTGAACTATTTCCCATGTCGAAACACAGTTCCTCCTCAATCAATATATTGTTTGATTGCAAAATGACAAAATACGTGTATGCAAACCTTTTGATTCAATTACTTTGTTTACATTCAGTTACCAAATAATACCTGTAACTCTGATCGTTAATATCCAATATCAGGGGTGTTGGTGAATATTTGTCTGAAACAATCATCTTTCTTAGTTTGGAGGAATTGTAATTCAAACAAGTTAGCTTTTGTTTTAGACATGGAACTAAAGGACTCGACATTAAAAACAAATAGAAATGGAATTAACTGGTACATTTGATTTGGCACGCTTGTCATATAGAACAACATGGTGATGCATATATATTCTAATAAGGTATACACTTTTTAGTTATTCAGCATTTTGTTACTAAGAAGTACAATAACATGCATTCAGCTGTTGATCATTTGAATAAACCAATCACCCTGTGTTCAAAGATTGTCATCATCACACAATACACTGTGTACGCATATAATCATTGACAAACTTTATTTTGAGTGACATTTATTCTGTTAATTAAGCAGTTAAACAAGGAAGGGGCTGGTCGTATTCATCTTTTAAATAAGTCTTTCATAAAACATCCACTTAAGTGATGAGATATATGAAACCTGATCACCTTCAGGTATCATTATCATTCAATAATATTTCCAATACACCTACTTAAGTTAAGTGGTGAGATGTACCAGTATAAATCCGTATTAGAATTATAGTTCAGCCCGTAAATGTCATACCCACATTTGTGGTAAAATTCAATGGCAACTGGTAGAATATACATTTCATTTCATTTGACAACTTAAAATCCAATCCATGGAAAAGGAGCTATCTTTCATTGAGTAAATTTTTGTTGGTCCATTAATAACGCTGTCATTATGGTTTTGAATCCCAGAGCCTTTTACTTGTCCTAAATGAGAAGAGATCACATTGTTATCAGTGATACGTAACCAGCCATTATGCTTCTGGGTACATTAGGAACGACTTTAGTTTTGAGAAGTATCCCTACAAATGGATTCATTAGTATCCTGGGCAGCATTTCACGAAACTGTTATAAGTACAAGTTCGCAGACAACTTATAGAATTGCATGTATTGAATTTAACACATGTTTCGAAGGGATGTCGGTGAACTTGTACTTGGTATGGTTTCACGAAACGCTGCCCAGGTTAATTTTTCATAGTTTAAAGGAATGGTAACTGTTCTTCGGAGGGTAAGATGGAGAGGGGAAAGTAAAGAAGGCTGCAGAGGAGGAATGAAGTGAGTGGGGGACATTGAAAGAAGGGATTAAAGGAACAAGTTAAGCGAATTCATTCAGGAGTTTTTTTAACTTCCTGTCATTAAACCTGAACAAGAATACACTTGATCCCAATTAATTTGCAACCTTACAAAGAAAATCCCCTCATTATCTGTGCAAGAGATGGAAAGTGCGCTGCCTATTACGGCTGTCGCTGCATATTTTTAATAGTTTACTTGAAAAACTAGGTCAAAAATAAAACATGAAATATTTACCTATTTTCTACTGTATGGCAGTGATTTATATTTCGTAGAAAAGAAAACAAATTGAAAATAGCTTTTAAATGCTTGTTGTATCATTCTCAAAAGGACACCTTCCTTGAGTTGCACTATTGAAATCATTATAGAGTATTCATTTATCTTGCTTTATACTTAAGTTCCTTCTGCAGAGTTGTAAAGTGAACTGAAATTCCCAGTATTCACAGAAGAGTATCCCTAGCAAACCAACAACATTTTTACCTACAATTCACCTTAAATAAATCACATATTCCCACATAATTCATGATATTTTTTTTAGGCAAACATACAGAGAGCAAATACACTAATAACCATCAATTCTACTGCACATATTTCTCATTACATAGCTTGTATATAAAATAGTCTAGAATACCTTTAAATAACATTGCACTGACGTAACACTCATTCTGGGGCTGGGCGAGTTGATTATTCACTAGCGGGCGGGCCTGGTGATCATGAGCTATTATTGCAGTCTACAGAGGGCAGTATATTACAGTAACGTACGTGGCAAGATTCTGTCGCCCATACCATGGTGCACATGTGAATTATTAGACGTTTCTCATGGTGGGGGAAGGGTGCTGACGTGATCGACATGTGCCAAAATAGCTGGTATCCAAACGGTAGCTAAAAAAAAAAAAAAAATCTAAAAATGTACAAGTCTTCATGATACGCTATCAAAGATTGTCCGACGCTACAGAGAAATCACTAAAAAACAAACAGAATCACTTCCCAGAGTTTTAATTCAGCATGAATCCAAATCTCACTAGAGAAAAGAATCTCCATCTGTAGGAAGCTCCTCCTGACAACAGAGGGCGATCTCTTCCTAACACCTTGCTGATGCAGCTATAAATTGTAACCCTCGATCATGTGCAGAACTCTAGGAGTGTACGACTAAGTGCTTTGGTTCGCTCCACCTTCTCATCACCGCTACAAAGTTAATACACGTCTCTTCGTAGTATATAATACATTAAAAAATGTGTAAAGGTGTAGTTCATATCGAGTCTGCGAATTGGCAACTGCCTGTGCCCTCATCACTTTCCCTTTTTACTGCTTTCTCGTAGCAGCTTCTGATAAATCTCGGACCGTAGAAACCGCGGATACGAGTCCTTCTCCATTAACGCTTCTATCCTCTTTTGGGCTTGGTCGAACGTGTGCTCGTCCGGAGCGCTCAGATTGTCCACGGTTTCCAGCCGCGTCCTGGAATCAAGATTAACCTGTGCACGAAGAAGAGAAGAGAACAAGTTAGTGCCTGCCTTAGAATTGATAAAATCTGAAACTTCAATATTTAAAATTAGACTGGAGTAGATACCTGTATTGAATATATTAACTCTGTTATGCCAGCAAATAATCTACATATATATATATATATATATATACAAGAAATACCATGCATTATTACACATAATCAGATTGAAGCTTCTATCAAAATTATTCCAGTTTCCCCAATGCCCCATCTTGAAAATGGAATGATTCCCCTTTAGAATAAAAAATCTGTTTCCCCTCTACCCCCATTCCGAAAATGGATTGACACCCCCGTTAAATGTTCCTGTGGAACTAAATTTTCCTTTTCTCATCTGCATATCCCATCCTCCAAATGGATTGATGTCCCTGTTCGATGCCCCTTTGTATTTAAAAAAGAATTGATGTAGCCACTCTGCCACACGCAGACACACTTATGACGTCTTCACCCGACATTGCCGAAATCAGCAAACAATCGTTTTCCAGGAAATTAAAACAGTCACACCTGATACACTTGCGCAGGCTTGTCTATATATGCTACATGTCTTGAATAACGAACTCTCTTTATTCATTGCCATGCTGGTACACCGCTGGCAAATATGCACGGCCGACCGGTAGATCAATATTCTTCAGGTTACGCTGTAACCACAATTATTTGCCCTAAAACTACCCTCAGGCCTCCTTTCCAAGGTGGCATTAGGTTCATAGCTTCATAGGATCTACAGAACTGGGTTTAAGGATGGGCAAGCGCAGGGAGAGGTACTTAGGAGGGGGGGGGGGGGGGTGTTCACCTAGAAGTACACGAAGTAACTACTTTTGCAATCTGTATGGTTGTCCCTCTCTCCACAATTTGAGAAACTATCAAGGCTATAAATCAATTGACCACATCAAAATCTGGACCTCTAGGAAGAACAGGGGCATTTAATTAATGACTCTGAATAGAGAAATGAATGTATAGTATTATATGCAGAGAATAAAACCAATCCAAATCAGAACCACTTCTCTATGTAGATCTTTTTTGTTTGTATAGCCAAAAATAACAAAAACAAAAGGATACAGTTAAAGAAAAAATGAATTAACAACTTGATGTTGCAAGACATCACATGTTTATGCCACTCAAAAATTGTGTCATTTTCATCCGAGACGCGGCCAGAGATGCTTGCCTGTGACATTGGCACCAGACCTTTTGAATAGGAAATGCCTTGAGTGATTACATTTCAAATCAATTCGCAAGGCAAATGATTTGAACAATGTTGCACAACACCAACCCCTTCCGCCCTCTCGCCATCACATGCGGGAGCACACACCGCGTCCATTTTAGTCGTTTTCATCGTCTCCGATATATTGATTTACCAGGGTCTTACTCAACGACACGCATCACTTCAACTGAATGGAATTTGTTTTGTAGACGGCACGTTTCCTTCATGGTAGTATGAAGGATGGGCATGGGGCAGATATTGAGCTATGATTGGACCGTTCGGAGACCTGGGAATCAACTGAGGATAGGCTTGTTGAGTTGTGGACAATTTTTATTTTCTTTTCCCCAAATTTGATATTTAAATAAAATTACTTCTGAACAGGTTTTGAACTCTGAAACAGATGAAGGATCTAAAAATTTCTTTACGTCTGCCCCTTACTGATATTCGTTACTGTGATACATTCTCAAACATATATGCGAAGGTTCAAGATTGGCCTGTAAGACTCGATCATCCACAACAGCATTTCCAAAAGTATTATTTTATTATTTCACAAACACTTCCAGTCCAACTCGTTTTAATTTACTCCACCAGGAGTGTTGAGCCATCTTTCATCAGACTCAGAGGCAGGGCCTTGTTTCATTAATTTTCTTATCAATGACAAGTTCAACAGCGTAAACTGATATATGGTTGTGAAAAAGTTTTATGAAATAGGGTTCAGATTCAGAAGACTTCATGAACTGTTCTCATGCACAGCCAAACCAGACTCACTGCACAGCTAAAATTCCTGTATCAAAGCTACGAGGTGCTCTCTTCGGCTAAATCACACTGGCTGCATGGCACAAGTGACTTAATAAACAGAAGGATTTGCACAGATTTGAATAAGATGAATGCGTATAGCCAACTTGTGACTGAGCTAGACTTGCCTCTCGTGGGGCCTGTATCGTGACGTAGTCGTCGTAGATCTTCCTCGCCCTGGAGGAGAGCTTGGAGGATTTGAGTTTCTTGTAGTCCTCGCAGGCCAACCAGAATTCAATGTTTTCATCGCTGAACTCGGTTTGTAGGAACCTTCTGAACGCTTCCAGCCCATCTGAGGAAAGGAGAGATAAAAAGGTGGCAAACATGATGAAAAATAAACATTGAAATCACTGTTCAGAGCCAGAGGGCATTAATTCATATTCTTAAGTAATGTGCCTACAAAATATTACATCATGAATCTCATCATCAGAGTTCCTTTAGTCCCACAAACTTTGAAATTATGCCCCCCCCCCCCGAACGTTCCATTTTATCATCAACTCATCCTCTTACCATTGATCATTTCCTTTCCTTTTTCATGCAACATCCATCTCCTGTTTTTGTCAACCAATGGTTAAGCTATACATCTTCCATCTATCTTTATATTCATCTCATCCTTTTCCTTTCCCTCTTCTTCTCTGCATCTCCCCCCCCCCCCCCCCTCTATCTCCGTCCTCTTTCAAGTAGCTTGGTGAGGATTCTTGCCTCCCAAAGCTTCCTTTCCCGGAGGCCCACTCCATCCGTTACTCGATACATTTCCTCACGTAGGTACATAATGTGCAGCCCCTGGTAAAGAAGGACACACCACCAATGTCAACGATGTACACACTATTCAAGAGTTTCCTTTTTGAATTCAGCCACAGACAATGGCATTGAATTCGATAGTTCCTAATTTCTGATTAAAAATCCATATCTTTGCTTTTTTCTCCTTGAATTCCGCCACTTATAGTAATCTAAATCGGGAGTCTGCGACGGCAACTTTTAAAGTACTCATGTTAGCTCATGGAATTCTACAGAACAATGGACGGATATTTCTGACAATTTATTTGTAGATGCTCAAGATAGCCTCTACGTCTATACAAATCAAAATGTTACTCTGGAATACCTCGATCCATAGAAAGGGAAGGATCTTCATTTACACCACAGTCTGTAATCTGTATGCAATTAAGTACTGCTTGATTGATTCTCTTACAAGTGGTTATACAGGAGGACAACAAACAAATATCTGCATCTCGTCCTCGTGAAGGAACAAAGAGATTCCATTACACCATATCCCTATCATACAGCACAAAAATCCTAATTCCTATTTCATGAGAACATTTAAAAGACTTCTGAACTGATCCTAACATAAACGGAATCAGATGGAGAAACATGATTGAAATCCCAGGTTTTATCCACTTTTCCGCATAAAACCAAAGTAACCAGGGAGACACGAATTCAGAGATCGATCAAAAGTCAAGTCTCATACTGAAAATATTTTATCTCTAGTCGCTTCTCTTGAATCTACCCCGGCCTTTTATTGGTATGCACTTCGACCCACTTATTCTCTGCACACTGCAGAAAAACAACAAGCGCAAGCTAGCCTCTCCAGATGCATATAGAGTCATCTACATATTTGTTGTTTCACCCTTTTCCTGGCACAGATCGAAAGGGAAAGAAGCTAGGGCAATCAGAATTCTTCCAATGATTCCATCTTGAAGTGATTCAGTAGAGACTATGAAATGGATTGATTTGGATGGGGGAACCTAGTTTCCTCTTGCTGGCAAATGGCACTGCAACATTTGGGTTTTATTTAAAGTGTTACCAGTATCCATTAAGCTGATCTTTTGATTGGAGTATTTGAGTAGAGAGGAGGGTCCATTCGAAGGATAAAGATAACTAGAAATAGGAAGAGATAGAGAAAGAAAGAGATAGAAAGAAAGAGAAAGAGAGAGAGAGAGAAGGAAATTAAATCATGATTTCGCAGAGAGTGAACGTCCTTTTTAGCTCAATTTAAAAGTAGCATAGTTTTTGATTGCTTAAACAAAATCAGACTACTTTTACACAAGATCAGAGCCTAAGACAAACACATATCTCAAAATTAAAAAAAAGTTAGAGGTGGGCTCTTTAAAAAAAGAGGGGTATTCCTTAAAAACAAGGGAATGGAATACTTACTCTTATCTCTCAACAAGTTTTCGAATGATTCGCCCCATTTCCGTACGTCCTCCACCTCGAGTAAAGAAATCTTCTCGCAGTTGAATTTGTTTGTGTCTCGCAGTGAGCTGTCTGTATGGCGCCTTCGCAGAAAGCGCATTTTATCCTTCAAATCCCGAGCACTGCACAAACAAGAAAGAAAAGAGAGAAAGAAAATACATGTAAGATATTTCACATCACCAAAATACATATCCTTTCATGCTCTGAGTACTGCACCAAGTATATTTAAAGAAAATAGAAATTCATGATATTCCACAATGCCAAAAGTCATAGCCTTCATATATATCCTAAGTACTATACCAAGAATATAGAGAGAGAAAAGAAAGAAAAGAAAAGAAAAAACAAACATATGGCCTATCTGGAGCCAGGAGGTCGTTAACTCATATTCTTGTACACATGGTGAAAGCCCTTAAGGCTCTGACAGATGATATCTGATATCCTACATTGCCAAAAACCATATACTTCAGTTCTGAAGAACTGAGAAAATAGTAAAATAGAGTGATATGGATACACAAGGCGATATTGTAAATGTCATTTTGTATCAGATTCAAAGAAAAAGTGTTCTATAACATCCTTGACATTACAAGCATGGTATCAAGAATGAAATGAGAGAGAGAGGACATAAGAAGTTGCTTTCACGAGTTTCATTGTTCAAGAGCTAGAAGGGCATTAAGTATGTGTAAAAGCATAGGAGTTAATTCCTTTCTGGCTTTCAACTGACAATATATCATAATTGTAGAATGTTAGAGTGCTTTATGTTTGAAGAAATTGTATCACATTCTTAGAAAGAGCATCTTGTTTGTAATATCCATCAAATTGAAAGCACTGCATCAAGAATAAATTATGGAAAAAAAGAAGAGCAAAAGTGCTGCAGATTGTTTAAAATACTTTTCAGAATACATGATCAATAACAAGAAAAGAACTGAATCTGATATGGCAGGTCTTTCTGTTTGGAAAATGTTTATATTGTATAAGAAATCAGTCGGAAACATGTCTTAATTACATCAATACATGTAGAGCATTTTAGTTTGTATAAAATGCAGCATCCACAATAAGGTTTAAACAAAAATCTTTACATATATTGATGAATCATTCTTTCAAATAACTGTTTTAAAATGTATAATAGAGGAATATACCCAGTATTCCTGCTTCGAATAAGCTTTTAATACTAACCCATCACTTCCCCAGCATAATACAATAAAATATAATGCTGACATTTATTCCTTTCCTAAATTCATTCTACACAAAGACATTTTAACGCATGATCAGAGTAGGGCAATGTGAATCAACTTGTTTTTCTGCCTGTTTACTACTTTTCTTCCCACCCTGAGGACAAGTGCATTTCATCCTGCTCTAGACGGCTCAAAACAACGTCTGCTATTACCAGCAGGAGTCTGAAGTAAGAGCTTATTTTCCACGATTGATGGGGTATATTAGTTGCCAACTTAGGGAGTAATAATCAGACCCGTGCACACGTAAACAAAACAGTTGGATTTATTATTGCAATTTAAGCTGAACTAAGCTTTCCCCACTTGCAACCCCGCCGAGCTGCATTAGCAACGGACGGGAGCAACGCAATTGTGCAAATGCCCGGGAGGAGCGTGCACGTACGATGACGTAAGATGGGTAATATGGCACGACCCCTGCCTCCGATGGCTGCGCCCTGATGAATAGCCATCAAGATTCTGGCGCTGTGTAAAGGTATCTTTTGGGCATGGCTTTGTTTTTCTCTCTAGTCATCTGAAAGGAAGATGCTAAGGGCATTTTCTCACAAAAACTTGGTTGTCATATTTGTTGAATTTGTTTAATAGTAGTCATATTTCAAAATTCTCATCTCAAAGTGGTAAGATTTACATAGGAATCTATAAATGTGTATAACTTTCATATATGGCCTACCTTTTATCCAGCAAATAACAGTTAACAACAAAATTCAACCCATCCCACCCCTCAAAAGAGATTGAAAAAGAGACTTGAACACAGTAATATATCAAAGGTGATTTTTGTCACAGCTATTCGTTTACACAATGTTTATTCAAAATGAAATTTCAAAATCACATCTTTTTGATATCAGAGCAATACATTTTGACTAAAGAGAGTAAACAAAAATGAAATGCAACTCAGACAAATTTTCATGTTACTGGTTATACATGAAATATGATTAAAGAAGTTATGTACCTCTCGATAATCTAAACTGAGGTTGAAGTCTACCACAAAGTCATGCTTCTACACGTGAGATAAAAAGCATGGAATGCCCTCCAATGCCACACAGTTCGTCACTAATTACACCATCGGTAAAATAGAAAAGGCTAGAGTACATCTGATTGAAGACAGAAATTCAAGGGTATTAACTCGAATACATAGAATTTAAGACAGAGTTGACACTCTTCGGGCTCTGGATAGAAGCATCCTTATCTTAAAGATAAAAATTGCTGCAAGAGCATATCCGAAAGCAACTGGATTCGACGGCTCTGATCTTAAATCCAACCGACCTCGTGCTGACCTCCAAGACCAATTGAAGGACACACAAAGGCCGGCGGAAGATATCGCTTCGCAGAAACTCTACCGCGCTCAGCCTCGCGTACGTAACGACACGAGATGCGGCTTTAATAATCAGAAAGGTATCAGGTGATGATTTGATTTTGGTGAGAGCACTTGTTTGTGCATCGCACCAGACATAACAAGTTCTCCCCTTTTTTATTTCATCCTTTCAACTGTCAGGTGTCCCAGATTTATAATGCTAACATTATTATGTTGCATCTTAGTTTCTGGCAAGGTATAGGATGTCATTTTTGTTGAAATTTATGACAGATTCATGAATTGTGAAGGTACTATGACAGGAAATTATAAAAAATGTATTTGCTTAAGTTACTTATTTTGCTCTCTTCCTCTCTCTCTTGCTCTCTGTGATTTCTATCTTTAACATTCTTCACTTCATAAGTATCTCCCCCCCCCCCCCCTCTCTCTCTTTCTCTTCAAGGACTCTGTATGCAAAGAACCATGAAGAAATGTTATCAAACATCTCGAATGCTTTGTGACAAGAATAAAAAAGTGCAGGCGTCACATTCCGGGAGATGATTTTTTTATCTCCCATAAAAAAGAAGCAAAGCTATGTTCTGCACATGATCACAAGTCTGCACGACTAATCGCTGCCTCGATAGTTTAATGCCCCCAAATATATTTACTGTAAGCTCTGTAGTTTTGTCCTGGAAAAAAAAATGTGCATATAATAACTATTTCAGGCAGGTGGGTAGGTAGGTAGGTGGGTAGGTTTTTCCAAATACTAATTTTCACAAATAAGCTTTCGGGTTTTCCACATAGTTTGATGCTCTCAAAACTATGATATGAAAACAAACATATTTACACAATGTGAACATATTTCTCTCAATATTTCTCTCTCCCCATTAACTGTTTGTTCAAGTAAACTTCAAAGTGTATACACTCTATGCCCAAGAGGGAAAAGAAAATACACAAAATCAATAGAAAATACATCACACTCATATCAATCAAATTTAAATTGCAAAGAAGGATGAAATCACAATTTCTTTGGCATTTATCCAATTGTCTCCTCTAGTATGGTTCATGACTGTGGTACTACCACATACTGCCCGCAAGAAAGCTGTAACAGCTATGTGTTTTTAATGGCAGTTGTGACCTTCTTGCAAACAGCCAATGAATAATGGATGCATGCACGCCATGATAGTGAAATAGATTGAGGCCTCGTCTTTAAAAATATTCAGAGTATCATACAAGACCATTCATACCAATCTATTCAAGTTATATGTATACTAATCGAATAAAGAGATTTTAATGACCCTGGAACAAGCAGCAGACTTGCCCAACATAGCAACAAGTACAAGGTGAATTCTATTCACAGAGATATACTTGGGTTAAATATGACGTTCATAACATACATCTTTTAACTGGTGCACTACAAAACTGTATGTTTGGGAAAAGATTGAGACTTTTTAAAATAAGCCTTGCCAAAATTGCTCTCTCTCAAACTGTCAATTCAAACAAAACAAGTAGCTTCAAATAACACCATGATCTAAAATTCAATGGCGCAACAGTCCATTTCAAAGAGGAGAAAAGGTTTTAATCAGAATATCAATAGAAAATATGAAAAATAGCTTATTACCAGTCCGTACTCTGCACGAATGGCAGCCATTGAGAATGGATGACGCGATGTTCAGTTTGTTGGCAAATTCTTTCAAAAAAACAAGATGCTCCTTTGATAAAAACTTGCCCAAAGAGACACAGTACTCCTACGTGGAACCTGAGAAGAAACGCCCGCCATGCACGAAACTTCCCTCCAACGCCTCTCTCAAACTAGATCATCAGTGAATGGAGATGATTTATCTCGGCAGTAAATCTACTCCGTCAAAGACAAATCATAGATTTCCAGACCACACGAACCTTTGTGGATTTGCCCCGAATCCTCTAAAACCCTTTCAAAAAATTAATGTTTTTCTTTCTACCTCGCTCTTCCATCTCCTCTTCTCTTTTCTTTTTAATTTAGCACTCAGTCATTTTCTACGCCTTCAGAATCTTTTTTCTTCTTTCTGTGCACTTGCCACTGGCAACATTGTGGAGCTAAATTGCCCTCTCGACACCAGTTCATTACATATCTTTTGCAGTTGATGAAGACGGAGGAAGTATTAGCATCTCAAATTAGAATGCGGAGAGAAGGAATCTTTAAAGCGAAGGTGGGAATACTTGGAAATTTAATGGGTGCTCACAATAATTACGCAGGAATGTGTCAAAAGTGATGGTTATCGCTGCACATCATGCGATCATCCTCACTTGCGCCAAACCCATTTCCCCTTTTGCAAATAACTTTTCTTAGAATATTTTTAACGAGGAGTCCCATAGCATCTCAAACATCTAGAGACAGCAACAACCGTCTATATAGGATGGCGACAGAGAAGTCATTTGGGTAAATATTATTCATAAATAAGAATTAAAGACAAAATCCCCTCATATCCAATGACTGATCGCGTCGGCGTGAATCATGAAGCAAGGATTATTGATTTTCTGATCATTGCAATGCAAAATTGGGACGAGGGCAAATTGGCAGCCTCAATCCATTTAACCTTTAGTGAGCGGCAAGCGTGCAAATTGGCACGCACCCACGAGACCCGGGGACGAAGAGTGCCTTTTAACCTATAGTGCATCGACTCCCGTAAGCCTTGTACAAAGAGCATGGAACTGATTTGGAGAAAAGTAGAAGAATTTCTTAGTAAAGATGGAAAGAGAAAGAGAAAAGAAGAAAAAGAATATATAGGTTACATGAACTAAAAACAAGACTAAAAAATTAAAAATAAGAGTATACAAATACAAGTGCACAGGCTTCACAGATATTTTTACCAAATGGTAGCCTGGCAGCGCCGGGGTAATATTGGAGCGCCTTGAGCATCTCGCGTGGTGGATATCTGCACTATGAAAATATCTAATATCATTCTTATTATTACAGTCATTCCAATAAAAATTGATGAATTCAGTTGAAGATTGTTCCAACCTATCATGCATCTACAAGTATATAGAAAATCCATAAATGGTCAAAGGGTCAAAGGTCGGTCATGGCTAGAAATTTACTTCAACTGCTGCACTTGCAAAATATGAAATATATATGTCTGACGCATTAACAAAAAAATTGTCCAATACTACAAATTTAGTTAGCGGCACTTGAAGCTATCAGACAAACCTCTCATGGCCTACAAGGAGAGGATGATATCTGTATCGTCGAACGAAACCTAAACTGCGAATGAGGAACGGGGGGACATCGAACACGGGTTAGGAGAACACTAAGGTGATTTGGAACCCTCCCAGCGAGGAACCGTATAGCAGGGCTGTGAGAGTATATGGGTTAATCTAATAATAGTCATATAGGAGTCTAGATTACCTTTCCAAAGGGAATGGACTTGTACTGTTAGCATCAGGTTTCAGAAGATGTGCAGAGAGCGACATATGTCATGGATATAGGGTGTATGAATAGGGGGGAGAGAAAGAAAAAGAGAGAGAAAGAAAGAGAGAGAGAGAAAGATGCACATATATAGGTAAAACTGACAAGACAGAGACTGAGAGGGACAGAAATAGGGGGGGGAGGTGAGAGAGCTACATGCAGAGCTGGGTAAAGTTATATTAAAAGGAAAACCAAATAGAGAATATTAAAAAAATGAGAAAATGAGAAACATGAAGATACCTTATATTTTTTCACTGGTACTAGTTTATTTTTGAGGGACTTATATATGACATACCAATAATTCACAAGGGGGGGGGGCGGCATTTTTTTGGAGACGTCCTCCTTTAAGTGTTTAAGTGGAGGCAGCTGGCAAACCACAAGTGCCCTCTTTGCTCAGTGGCGACATCGCACGCAGGCAGGGCTCACGCTCACGTACAAACCCAACATGAGATGCATGCTGGTGAAATGACTCCGTCTCACAGACGATGGAAATGATTAGCTAATTAGTCCTCTGATTTGCCCTCGTTTTAAAACGAGGCTGTGTATAATGAAGCAGGTTATATACCTACTGTTCTTTCCAAGATACAAGGCCAGCATATGGCTGATGCTAGGAAAGGTAAATCTCAGGAAAAACATCCAACATGTTTCTAACGTTTCAACAAGCACCATCTAAAAATCGTGAATCTAATGTATTTAAGACAAAAACAGGCTATGATTTGTAGAGATGGTCATAGAACACTGATTACTCACAATGGAAAATGAAAAAGAAAACTGTCACAAAACCTCTTCAAATTGAACTTTCAAGACAAGCTTGTAAAATAGTAGTGTTGAGTGGACGAACTCGTATCAACTTCTCTTCCTGTAACATAAATAGAGATTCTGAAGAAAAGCTTACACCTAATATCATATTTTCCCCCTTGTCTGACATATAATTATGTATTTAAAAGATTACTGTTATTCAAATTCCAACATGGCACACAAGACTACATCACAATTTCTTTATGTTACAGATTTTATCAACTACTTGTGTTTACGTAGCCTTCAACAATTCTTGAGGGAAACAATTTTTTTCCCTCCATTAGTTAAAAGTGCTTACTATAAAAAAGAAAGAAAATGTATTTATTTGTTAGAAGACAACCCCCACATTTAAGAGAGCAAAACACTATCCTCTTGCAATTTCTGTTCAAATGTTGAAGGCTGTGGGAAAGAGACGACTGTAAACACTAATTTCCTCAGCAAATCAATGTCAAACACGGCTTGTGTGGATTCTGTGGATTCTTTGCATTCAGCATTGTCTATCCTTTTCTGTCCCTCTCTCCTTCTCTTCATCCTAGTCTATTACTATCTCTATCTCAATTCCAATTTCAGCCATCTCCTTTCCCTTCAATGCCACTTGGCCACCTTCTCTCTATCTCTTTCTCTCTCTCTTCTTCCCTTTTCTCTATACCCTGTCTGCCTCTTCCTGGGATAAGTAAAGGAGCCTTTTACTTCAACGAGGACAGGAAATTGAATAAGGTCATCCAGGAATTTACACAGAGCCTGTGGAAAGCCCTTCCTTTCAACCCATGTTTCTGTCAATACACGTGAGTCTCGGACAATATCAAAAATGACGTTCAGACACAGACAAGCAAATGTTAAGTATTTCAAAACAAACTTAATTCATTTCACATGAAATGTCCCTGATGCCACCCACAAAAAAGACCCAAAATAGTAATTGGCCTCGGTCTCATGTTGACAGACACACAAAGTAAACAAGTGCACGATGGGCATAATATGTAAGACCTACAACTCTGAAAAGAATTCGATTAAAGGACAGTGCAGCTTGGATGAATTTCATTCTGCTATGTAAGGCTCACCTTAGACAAGCTTCTCATAACATTAATAAACAATTGCCTGGGGCATTGTAACTACTGCTGATAATTTTTTTTTGTGTGTGTGTGTGTCACAGAATTTGCAAATTTGTTACCCCCCCCCCCCTCCCCCACCCTGAAGAATCCTGGATCTGCTGCTGCGTACACAAACATTCATAAATGCACATGTAAAACCTCCATTCATATTCGAAGGACATGTCTACTTTAAGGAGACAATGCATCAATGTAGAGTGGTTATCTACAGTAGATATCAACATACTGATCAAAAGTGGAATGCATGTCCAAATCATGATGGCGTCACTCAATGAGCATGGCACAATGATATTTGGTTTAATGTATTTCTAGGAGCCAACCTGCTTTGACTGGGTGTGTCTCTTCATATCACCCCTAATAAGAGGGTAGAATATCTTACTGTCCAATCTGCTCGAGTGACCACCTATCTAGAAAGACAACATTTTTTGCTTTCCATATTGAGACCTGCATATGAGGAGCTTTAACCCAATGTATTCTTGGGCCCCATAATAGCCTAGATCGGTTGTCTGCTCCTATATAGTCATGAGAAAGTGAGTAATATATGTCATGCTGTCAAACCTGCATTATATAAGAGACCACCTGTAAATGAAGAAATTTAAAAAAGCCCAGCGGTACTGTAAGTCAAACTATCTACAAAGTTTACATTTCTAATTTTCCCTCAAAGTTTTTCACATGGAAACTAGATTTTTGAGACTTTTTTTTATAAATTCCACATCTAGAACATGAAATCTCCTTGATAATAGAACATATGAATAATTTGAATCAACACTTATATGCCTTTAAAAATAACTTATACAAAATATTTTCATAGATGCTAATGGCTTTTCGTGATTGTTAAGTCCACCTTAGAATCTTTGTGCAACACCCCCACCCCCCCCCCCCCCCCTCCAGGAGTATCACAACATTTCCTATTTCTTTTGGATGAGCTCAGTTCTATCCGAATTTATGACAAGAATGTTTGTGGACATGAGAAAACAAACAATGTTCCTCAAATTTCCTGAACAAGAATGAAGCGTCTCCTTCAATATTTCCCACCTCAGTGGATCCTAAAATGTCAATATTTGGTAACCCAGTATTTTTTGCATCAATCCCTGAATTTTCCATAACAAAGGGACATTAAGATAAAGTACAGAACAGCCCCCCCCCCCCCTTTCCCTTCTTTCATAATATCATCAAATATCTCAAACAAGATACCTGGGGAAATCAATTTAAAACAAATCAAGTATAACTGCAATTTTGTTAACTTTTCTTAGACCATTTTAAAAAGCTTTAAAAAAGAGAAATAACTATTGTAACAAGAACCTATGAAACTAAGCTTGCTTCTAGGTCATTGTGAATAAGTTTGTGAAGCAGAAAAATATACTTAGACTTGAAATAATTATCATGTTACATGATACAGAAATGTTTTGTTCACTTTTGAAGAAATAATAGCAAAGAAGCAGAAAAATGCTTACTGCTCTCTCCTACATTATCAGATTGTCAATTCCAAGGAAAATCTTCCGGCTAAATTGAATCTTGGCTTTACCATCAGCGCAAAGAACAACAAACCAGTTCAGTCAACCCCTTTCTACGTTTGAGTCTAGAATCGAGTTATTATCGATCGTAAGCAACAAATGTGAAAAATAGAACATTGATTTCCTTGTGTTTCTGGAAATACAAACCTTTCTAAAACAAAATAGAAAATGTAATAGAAAGCAACACAGCTGCTGACCCTTTTAAAAAATGTGGAAAAATCCTGATTTGCTTTTAATAGAAAAGTAGGCCAAATTTTGTGAATCTATTTGATTCCACCCTATTTTCTCTCTTTTGGGGGCCTTAAGCTGCTATTAACTAAAGAAATATTGTTTAACTTGATGTTCAATGAATCGATGCTCTTTTATTTCTAATCAGGCAAGACTTGTGTTGTAGAGGTTACTTAGAGATCAACACTGGATTTGGTTCCTTTCTTTGGTTATTTTAATCTATATATTTCTGGAATAAGCTACTCTTCTGTCTTCATAGTAAGATTTTCCCACTTTCTTCCTCATCGCAAGTTTTATGAAATAATTAACAATGATTATTCTAAATGGATAACCCACCAGAAATATGTTATAACAGTGTACTTACGGAGTGCCTTCCTTTGTGAATGTCTCTGATCTCTTTATCTCCATGGCATTGACTAATTTTGACGACATCGTCGATGCAAAACAGCACAAAATAGTTCTGATTCGAAAAAATGTCTCTTAAAAAAAAACAAGTGGCATGCACTTTTGTTTATGCCTTCCAGTTCATAGATCCCTGTCCATTTCTCACTTTGTCTGTTCCATCACAAAACAATATGACACCTGCAAGTTTCAAAGTTGTTGTCTAACAGACATCGGTCAGAATCGCCAGTTTCAATGATGCATTCAGGGGATGCTTCCAGACTTGAGAAATATTCAGAACTCTTGTTTATCTTGACAATGTATGCAAGTGTCCAGACGAAGCAGAGATGAATGTTGTGATGCTGAAAAGTCAAAGATGACAGGATCACACTTAAATAGAGTTGATTTCAAAATGTGAACTAAACTGAAGATAGCTTTCTAAAAATTCTCTAGGTGGCGATGATTCGATGAAGCAGAGATGAATACTACGATGCCGAAAAGTCAAAGATGACAGGATCACACTTAAATAGAGTTGATTTAAAAATGTGAAACTGAACTGAAGAAAGCTTTCTAAAAATTCTCTAGGTGGCGATGATCGGATGAGAGCGAGGTCTGATGAGCTCTCTAGTCCCAGCTGGTGCCTGATTGCTGCACACAAGTCGCTCACAGCGCATCGACGGACAGACAGTGATGACGTGAACTAGACGTTGAAACGACGGCTGATTAATTTTCAAGTAAACAGGGTATTTTGGCTACTCCTAAAATCATAAATCAAAGGAAATAATCCTTGTTCCACTGCCTCTTTACAGGGTGCTTGAATTGGGATATTCACCTCAGAAGAGAATGATGATATGGGATGGTATGAGAGCATTAGCTCATGCAAGGCACAATGTTATGAAAAATCAGCTTAGAAAAGTTGGGGTGAGTTGATTACAAGCCTATCAAGATGTGACATCTGCAGCCAGTAAGCAATTAGCGAGACCTCTACAACAACTTCAAGAATCAAGAAGGTATTATTGATCGAGGACGCTAATTCTCGTCCGTTTGCACTGATCCCAAAGATTTCTGACCGAATAAATGCTCAATTATCTTTAGTTGTCTCTTTCTGTTGAGAGAGGAAAAAAGATATGTGGCATCTGCCACCTGCCCCCAACTTTACGGTTGTTTATGGAAGAAGACTGGCGCTCCCGCTAGTTTCCTCCGCAATGCTCTCTCTCTCTCTCTCTTTCTCTCCCTCTCCGTTGAACTGCCACCTCACAAGGAGAGAAAGTTTGGTAGGTCATACATGCGAAGAGACGTCCTGAATACTAATGAGGTTAGAATCAAGTGTTTTTTTGTTTGTAAAGTGGAGAAAGTGACGGCATGAGGCAGGAGGGTTTACGGAATCGTCCTCAGGTGGGGGAGAGTTCAAGCGATTCCTACATACATGAATTCATATCATTCGCACGTCACCGACGGTGTAAGGAAATTCAGCAAACTGCCCAGCAGCTCTCTGGATACCCAAGATTAAACATTACTCCTTGAGAAGAATCCCTCTAATATCAAATTATCTCCTCCAGAATGCGGAAAAAACTGCCGCTTCAAATATCAGCTCAAACCAAACCGTATTTCAATACCTGCAGTTAAAGCTAGGCCTATTCCTTCATGCGTGGGATGGAGGAATAAGAACAAGAAGATATCTGACCACTCCAAGTCATTACGTCAACTACTGGGTTGAGCGTGCTTATTACTAATCCAGAAAAGGGCACGATTGTGGTCTAGAAGTCTGCAAAAACAAGCTGATTTTTAAGCTTAGACCCAAAACAGATGGTGCAGATATAAAGACGCCAGGGGCCCACCATATGCCTGCGATGTGAAGTAATCCAGCACTTTTTGTTGTTCATTCTTTCCTAAAAAACATCCCCCGGCAATATGTTCTGGATACAGGTGAACCGTAAGGTTTGTTGAACTTGCAACAAAACAACAATATCAAAATGTCTTTCCCTGACGAATGTTAAAGTTCACTGTGTTAGTTGAACTATACTCAACAGCCTTCTCTGCAATCATCAAGCGGAAGATGACGTGAACTATTCACCAAAAATGATTTACCATCAAATCTTCAAAAAAGTCTGATGTGATTCAGGGGAGGGGGGTGGGGGGGGGGTGGAATGAGAGTGCAGTGAAATGCTATCGATGGTTAACTTGCCGAGGCTTCTTGATGCGATACTGAGGAACACATGCAAAAAATTACCTCTAGAAATCTAAAACTTTCAGCTATATAAAAGTCCTAGAAGAACCTGGATGAAAAACCTTGTGCTAGGAAGCTCTCAACGTCGTTGTCCTCCCCAATCTCAAAAACCCATCTGAGGTTCCTATATTACTAACCCCTCTTTTCCCTGTCCCCCAAGACAACTAATAAACGATGAATGGCAAGGGCAAGGAGACAATCCAGAAGAGTCCGTTTAAATTTTCGGCGGCACAATCGCCCGCTTACGCAAGTGTCATCTAATAGGTGTGACTATACATAAACTGCCGTCTCCGACTTCACTCATCGATGCAGCGTGCAAAGACGGGATAAAGAACTGGGACAGCAGAACGAGCTGTGTACTTGCTCCTCTTGTTTCTCAAGATTTCAATGGCTCACAGTCTTACGTTTCCCCATCAAATATTGGATTCCGATAGGGTGGGCAGATAGAGCGGAATCCCTCTCTGATAATTCCATTATGAATTCTACCCCCTCCCTTCCAATCTAATTCTTATCTCTCCTCTTGAAGTTTAATATGATCATAGGCTTATCGATAAGATCAGAAACTCTTCCCCGTGAATGCCAATTTGATGCCAACTTAATGTTGTAGAGCTCGTTTCTTGAGCATGAGTGCCCGACTTTGCCACAGGCTGATACAGTAATATTCTCATTTCTAGTTAGCTCTCACCATCCATGCAATCAACTTCTTACAAACAGAGATAGGCGTAAAATACAAATCCCGATCGCAATCATTATAATCCTCCCAGCAAATTGATTGCAGTACTAAGGGAGTCAGTAATATTTAAAGACAAGATCATAACTTGAAGGTTATCTATTACTAGGGGATGTATATGGAAGGAGCAAAGCTTAAAGAAATACAGCAAAAGACAACAAATAAACTACAAATTGAGGTAGAAAAGGGCAAACAGTGACTAGAAAAGTGCTGTAACAAAGAGTATCATCACAAAAGCAACACTACTCATATCATTGTGACACATCGAGAGCTATCTGATTATATAAAGCTTTATGTGACACTTTTTTAACAAGTTTGTGTTTCTCTCAATAAATCTGGATGACTGCTCCATGCTTTATCTCATCAAAGAGTGGGGTTAATTAGGGTTGTAATTGAGAAGTAGAGAAGGTTTTAGTTATAGGGTTAGGATGGGTATTGTATTTGGTCCATGGTCCCATAACCAGTAGAAAACAAAGATATTGAATGTCAGAAATTAAAGATTTTTCTTTTAAAAATCTCACCATCCTTTCAGAAGAGTTGCTACAAATTTACAATCCTCTCCCTGATTTTATCGCAGGCGTTTTTCTTATTCAGAATTTAAATGAGTTGAAAAGAAATCCATCATTTTTTTATTTTGAACAGAAGATTACTACCACGCCATCTTGACTGTCTAAGCTGAACATTTCTTGTCTAGATTTTAAGATAAAGGTATCAAAAAATTCTAAGATGTTTGTTATAAGTGGAAAGATGGAGCATGATACAGAGAGAAAGAGAGGGAGAGGGAGAGAGAAAGAGAAGGAGAGAAAGAGAAGGAGAGAGAGAGGGAGAGAAGGTGTAACAGGGGGAGAGAAAAAGGGGAAAGAAAGAAGCTGAGAGGGAGAGAGGGATGGGGAGGAAGAATGATGGAAAGAACATACAGAAAGAGGAAAGATATAAGAGAGAGAGAGAGAGAGAGAAAAGGGGGAGGGAGAGAGAGAGAGAGAGAGAGAGAGAGAGGGGGGGGGGGGTGAACAGGATGTGCAAAGACAGACTAATGGAGAAAATAGAAAAACTAGAAATATAAATATAGTCACAAATGTCTTTAAGCAAGTTTGAATAAACAAAAGTGTCCATTACATCTATACAGCAGGTACCTAGCTAGATACATGCGCATGGCAAATATAAAACTATAGCACTACATTGGAAAAGATAACACACAAATGATTTATGTTGGCAAACAGGCAAGAATTATATCATATTAAAACATATAAATTTAGGCCGAAGATACTGAATATCTTGTATATCTGTACAACCAGGAGATTCTATTATTCTTATATTCTTGGCAAAATGTATTACAGAGGAGAAAATACATTTTTTTTAATGAAAGTACCGGTAAAAAAGTTAGAGATTTTATCTACCCTACCTTGGCAGTCCAAAATGCATATCCAGTAGAAAAATCATCGGGCTAGAGCTGAATAAAAGGCACAGGTATTGAAGGCAAAATCAAATGGCGATGTTATCACACCAAAAGTCTGAGATGGAGTGCTTCTTTCTCCCCGAAGTTGTCTCTTCATTAAAAAATATCACTTATATCAGATAGGCTGTTGTGTCATACCCTCGATAAGAATGGAAAAAGACGAAAACATATTTATCATCTATCACCTGTTGATGAATTTTTTACTCCTTGTTCTGCGTATTGAGTGTCTGGCATTAAGAACTTGCCATATCAGGTGACTTGTTTTTGTGAGAAATGTGTTTTCCAATGAGACGAGTTGATAGTCAGAGTAATGAAGAAGCAATCGGCAACAAGTTAGGAGAGACGGTCTCGCCGGCTTCTCTCTATTCACCACTCTCTGTCTCGCTCTCCCTCTCTCCGAGCGTATGCACGAGTTAATTTGAATAAACTGACGATGTCATCATCAGAATTCGGAGCGAAAAGAATGAGTGGAGGCTTCAAGGCTTCGAGATTCTCACTCTCTCTCTCCCTCTCTCTTTTGTATTCTGACAAATGAGTTTTGGGTTAGGTTTCCCACGGTAACGACAAAGACTGACGTAGGTCTAGCAGTTGTATTTTGTTTGGCACGACTAGTTGCTAGCAAAAGGGGTGAAAGATGCGTTTCCAAGTATGGTTAACGTCAGTGACCAAAGCTGAATACATTGGCATTGTCGCTCCAGTCGCAGGTGGCAATGGTTTCCGAAAACATGCACGTGGCGTGATAATATGGATGGATGGGAACGCGACGTTCAATCAAAAGCGGAAGGACTATGAATGTACCATTTACTCCAAAGTGCTTGGTTCGGTCTGAGAGTCATTTAAAGTTGCTAGGGGATTTTATAGATGTGTGTTCCCGTTTCCTACCAGACTATAGCCATAAGCTTTCATGCCGGTTACCAACAGGACTAATGTCCTGACATGACATCATCTTCTATCAATGTACAACCCGGAGAAAAAAAATCCCTTGTGGTGAAATGAATCGTCGTTTCAGGGTAAACGGAACGCGATGAGCTCACATAGTGAATGAGAAAGACAGCGGGAGGGAGAGAGGGAGAGAGAGAGAGAGAGAGAGAGAAGGGGAGAGATGAAGAAGACAGTGAGTGAGTGGGTTAGAGCATCTGTGTGTGTGAGTGTGTATGAACTCTGTGTGGCAGGCGCACACAGTCCCACAGCAGATGGCTTGTGTATTGCTCTATAGTTATTAAGTATGCACAGAAGGGTACATAAAACCCCACAAGCAATTTAGGCATGTGGATCCTCCTAGCCTAATATTTCTTTTTGGAAAAACCCACTCTTGATTGGATCACTAAAGGTAATTTTAATATGACTAATTCATACTTTCATAGAAAATCTTAAATAAAGGTAACTGTTTGCCTGGAATGGTGAAATATGATACACCGATGTGCACACGCATAAAATGTATTTTGTTCCTGTAGTCACTGGGTCGAATGATTTACTTACCATGTTCAATTATCTTTGTTCCTAAATTGAAATATTTCAAACTTTAAACAGAGAGAGATAGAGAGAGAGAGAGAGATAGAGAGAGAGAGAGAGAGAGAGAGAGAGAGAGGGAAGGAGAGATATATTATGGAGAAATGAGAATAAGCATGAATAGACATAGAAACACACACACACACAAAGATAATCACAACATATAAAAATAAACATATAGATTCTTCATGAAGAAAAGCTAAAAAGTTTGGAGATCTGTGAATTCAAATATTTTCA